CACGCTACGGGGCTCACCCGTACTACTACTACTACTACTAGTGCACCCGGCAGCCTGGCCTGGGTGGGTACGGGTACGATTTCTGGACGATTTCGCACGCGTACGCTGGCTCTGCTGAGCAGCTTGAAATTTCGGCGGAACACTTGCCTTGGCAATGGCGGCTTCCTTGAGGGATACAACCTCCTCAGTCAGGCCGGACACCTGCCGCGACAGCTCATCAATCCTTTTGTTGAAGCGAGCCTCACGATCGGCCGACTCGGACGCTAGGTTAGCCAGGGTCTTGATTACTTCCAGCACAGACGACTCAATACCCGGAAGGGAGCACAAAAGTTTCATCTCTGCCTCTGAGAGCCCCTTGAGGGCGGTCTTTGTAGTTGGGGGCATGGCGGCCAGAGGTGGGTCAGCCCTACTACTAATCTATACTTACTACTAGTACTGGTCCTCTTGGCCACGCCGAAGGGCTGCCAGGAAGCCGTGGAAACTAAAAACTGCGGAGCTCAAAAATTTGCTTCCACGTATGTGCTTTGTGTCGAATTATTATTTTAGTTGGCATATAGCGATAGGACAAGAGAATCCGTAGATTAGAAATGATAAAGTCGACCAACATTCGAAAACAAATTCAAAATTAGTAATTTCTCCATTTGCTCGTCTGATTTCCAGGACGCGAACTCGATCGTTAAGTCGAGTGTATGAAGCTTTCCCGACTGGGATGCGCTGGCCAGCTTGCATCTGGCCGGCAAGAAGCTCCGTACGCGAAGCCTCCATCTTCAGTTGCTCCAACAGCACCCATACGTTGGGGTGGGTGATGTTCACCTTTCGGCTAAATCGATAGTGCCATCCCTCAACACTGTTGTTGGTCCTGACGTCCCTTCCATGGCAGCACCACAGCGACATCGGAACGTTAGCATTCTCAATCCAACCGATCGAAGGCTGCTGTGACCTGGTCTTCTGGCAGGAATGGCAATGCCATCAGTTGACGACAGCAGTCCTGTAGGTTACCAGCACTGTAACGTTCCTGCATGCCGGCTGCCGGCTAATTGGTGCCCGTACGTACATTTACGTGTACGGCGCTGAAGTGCCTCCCGCGGAAAAATCTGCGCTGAAGAAATTGGCGCTGACATGTCCCGCGCTTAAAAATTTCGCGCTGAAATCATCGGCGCTGTCAAGACACTGCGCTGAAATGGCACCGAGCTGAAATGCCTCGCGCTAAGGCGGTCGCGCTGAAGTGCACCGCGCTAACAATGGACGCGCTGTCGCGGGAGGTTACCATGGAACATGCTTCCACCTGGATGTCGTCAAGTTAAAGGGGAAGTATACCCTAAAATCAAATTTTCACCAGTTGTAGTCTTCTGGGTGCTGAGTCGAATGGTCTTGGTTCGAGGAAGCTGCGACGCTCCCTTCCTACTTGAATCCCAATCGAACTCGCGCACTTCCACCGAAACTGGGTGACTGCGCCCTACTAGATGGGGATTTGTATGCAAAATGTCACTAAAAGCGCCATTTCGTTCTTATAAATCGATGTCTTCTGTTCGTGAGAACGGCCATTACAGCATGCTATGTTTCTTTGATCTAAGCAAGGCCTTCGACACAGTATGGACACGCGGGCTCCTATACAAGCTGTCGCGCCATGGAATCCATGGTACTTGCTTCACGTGGCTCAGTACTTACCTGACGGGCAGACAGCAAAGGGTGCGTGTCGGCTCTGCTCTGTCTGCCAAAGGGCATGTACGGTCTGGAGTTCCTCAGGGATCAATCCTGGGGCCTCTCCTCTTTCTTATGTATGTAAACGATCTGGCAGAAATGGATCACACATCACTATATGCTGATGATACAGCACTACTTGTGACAGCACCCACTCTCCCCGAGGCTAGTGCCAAGTTACAGTCCAACATAGATGGCGTTATTCATTGGATGGAAAAATGGAAATTGCAGCCCAACTCTTCGAAAACTGCTGTAATGTGTATCCCCCCCCCCAGTTGTTCCTGTGACCTATCTTCATTAGTAACCAGTCCCTTCACCTTTCCAGGCACCACAACCCCGCTCTGCATCGTTGAAAAACACAAGCATCTTGGCGTCATTATTGACCAACACTTAACCTGGAAATCCCAGATCGAACATTTAGACAGCCGTGTTAGCTCAGTAATGGGATTTCTCTCATCACACATCACCCACCTCCACACCGACTGTCGCCATGTTATCTACACATCTTACATTCTGCCTATTTTTGATTACTGCTGCATAATTTGGGCTGGCATTTCTAAAACACTTATTTCTCGACTCGAAGTTCTGCATAGGCGTCTTTTGAAAATATTATTTCGGCTTCCTCGCCTGACTCCAAGCGCAGACTTATACCGCCTTGCTTCTGCTGTACCGCTCTCGGTCCGCGTGCGTTTTTTGGCATGCCAGACAATTCATAAAATTAAGCTGGGCATTGCTCCTCTTCATGCTCTCTCCTGCCTAAGCTGGTTTGCTCAATCTCAAGACATGCGCACCAGAAACTCTCTCCGCTTCCCTATTGCGCGGTCTGCCTCTATGATAACATCTCCTCTCTTCCTTGCTTACCGCCATTGGTCTCTCCTCCCACAACATCTAAAATCCTGCCAATGTTACAATACATTCACACAGCTACTGCAGAATGCAACATACTAGTTGATATCCAGCCCTGCCCTAGCTTCTCTTGCTTTTCAGTTCCCCTTTCATTCTTTTTCTTTCTCCCCTCTAGCTCTATTACCGCCATGGCTGGCTATCGCCCACATCACCATTTCATTGGCTAGTGCCACGTGATTGTGAATAAATAAATAAATAAATAAAAGCACGGATGACCGCGATTGGCCCATATGTTGTAGTCTTTTGGACGCTGAGTCGACTGGTTTTGGTCCGAAAAGGCTGCGATGCAGCGTTCCTCCTTTATTCCCAATCGAACATGGTTGAACAAGCGGTCACGTGCCCCTGGGTGCCCAAATCACCTGGTCACCGCGCCAGCAGGCGACAACTTTCACACCAAGGTTCAACTCGAGTTCAACTCGAGTGACAGGACTGCACCCAAAAAAGGTCAAACAGGCTAGTAAGTTGTACCCTGCAGGCACGGTGACCAGCTGACTGGTGTACGCAGGAGCACGTGACCGCTTGTTCAACCATGTTCGATTGGGAATAAAGGAGGAACGCTGCATCGCAGCTTTTTCGGACCAAAACCAGTCGACTCAGCGTCCAAAAGACTACAACATATGGGCCAATCGCGGTCATCCGTGCTTTTATAAGAACGAAATGGCGCTTTTAGTGACATTTTGCATACAAATCCCCATCTAGTAGGGCGCAGTCACCCAGTTTCGGTGGAAGTGCGCGAGTTCGATTGGGATTCAAGTAGGAAGGGAGCGTCGCAGCTTCCTCGGACCAAGACCATTCGACTCAGCACCCAGAAGACTACAACTGGTGAAAATTTGATTTTAGGGTATACTTCCCCTTTAAGCCCCTTTCTGCATTTGTCACAGGCACCAAGTCATTCTTAGGGTTCCCAGTAAAAAGGCAACGCCTGTTGGGAGTTCCCTAGTAAATAATACATTCTACTGCACCTAGTAGTACGAGGTGATTCGTCATTATTTAACACGAAAGTAAAATAGCCTTCCGTAGGGTTCGAGGTGTGAATCTTTCCATTTCTTCCTCTAAAAATGTAATACTGATGTCCTTGGATTGCAATGTTGGGTTTCTCATTCACATAATCCTTGGTGTTGGGAAGCAGGTGGCAGTTGAAAAATGGCAATTTTTCCGCATACTATTTGTTGTGGTCATTTCTTAACATCATGGTAAAATAGGCCTTAGCAGCACAATTTCAAGTCAGTTTTCAATAGATGGAGACCCTACGTATCCAGGATGGTCCAGCAAGACTGGATCAAGATAATGTTCATCCAAATACAAGCCATTCAAGCTTGCATAGCAATAGGTGTGTCACCCTGATTTCATGTGCAATTGTGATCAACATCTGTTAGCAAATTCAGTGAATGCCAATGCTTGGCCATTACCAGGGTCAACACACCGACATTCCTCCTTCCCAGGCGTCGTTTCCAGTATGTAGCTATCATATGCTTCCTCTTCAGCTAAATATGTTGTCACTGGAGGTTGAAACCAGCGGCTATGACTCTCTTATACTCTATTTTACCGTAAACATCGCGCACTGCAGACTGAAAGCTCTTGCAATGTCACTTCCTGAAGGAATATCAGTCTCAATTTTGGAGGGGAACTTGACAGAACATTGGCAATGGCAATGGCAAAACGAATTTTTACGTGACTTTTTTCAGGCGCTGGCAATGAGATATTTTACCGTTTTGTTAAGAAATGACTCAATGTTAAAAAATTACGAATCACCTCGTAGTACTAGCAAGAGTACATAACCCCGGGGTTATGTACGCTTGCTAGTACTACTACTAGGTGCACTGAGAGTGTGGTATACGCGGGCACATTAGTCAAATTTTGACTATGCATTGCCCTACACCAGTGTGGACAAAAGTTCTTTTGTACATGTACCCAATGCGGTAGACAGCAAGCTGTTTCGGCCATAACTGGCATAAGGGCCTCATCGGTACAGCTACGAGCTAAATAGGCCGAGCTTAGTTGAAGTGTCCCATTAGAACGGTTTCTATCATTAATTTTTAGAGTTTTTCAGTGGAATTGTCATGGCGATGATGACGTCCGATCAGATCGACCATCTCCACGTACTACGTGACGTAGCTATTCCAAACTCTTCGTAACTAATCCACCTTCCCATCGCCGCATCGGATGAGTTTCGAGGAGCTTCGTTTTCCTGAAGAGGCCAATAAGGCCACCTCTTCAGAAAAACGAAACTCCTTGAAAAGTCAAAGAGTGACGAACGCGCCCTCGTGCCATTCTCGTGTCACTCACAAAAACTGGAACATCGAGCACCATGTACCAGTACAGAAAGGCTTCAGTCAGTTCAGACTAGACAGGAAGCCTTTCTTTGTTTGTTTTTTATACGCGTAGATCATACGAACCTGGACATAATTCTCGTTCGCATCGTAGCGATAGTTCTGTCTTCGTTCTCTAGTTTCTAGTCTGCCTCTAGCTCTTCTACTTGTAAGGATCTTCTCCAGTTTCCTCGCCATGTCACTTTGCCGTCAGAACTACCATGTCGACTGTGAGGCGGGTGTCAACAAACAAATTAACTTGGAACTGCAAGCAATGTATGCGTACATGGCGATGACAGCCTACTACGACCGAGACGACGTTGCGCTCGGTAAGGTCGCCTCGTTCTTCCGCAAGAGCGCAGCAGAAGAGAAGTGCCACGCGGATCTGCTCATCGAGTACCAGAACAAGCGGGGTGGTTGCGTCACCTTGGAGCCAATCCCAACGCCAAGCCAAGATACATTCGAGAACCTTGAGCAGGCCTTCCAAGCGGCGCTGGACTTGGAGAAAAAGGTGAACCAAGCTCTGTTGGGCCTGCATGAAGTAGCTGCCAAACACGACGATGCTCAGATGACCGACTTCCTCGAAGGAAGCTTCCTCGGGGAGCAGGCAGATGCAATCAAGGAGCTTGCTTCGCATGTGACCAATCTGAAGCGACTTGGCGCAGGCCAAGGTGAGTGGCATTTCAACAATACACTGGAAATATAACAATACGGAGGTGGGCAAGTCTTACGTAGCTACCGGTACATATTATTGTACTACATGTACATCGAAGTAGCTGTCTATCTGCCTGTGTGCTCACAGATTTGTTATCTTTCTGCGTGTGAATAGTCGTGTGGTGTTTTTTAAATCTTTTTTTTCAGTTGAGCACTAGTGATTTTGTACCTGAACGCGTTTACAAAATTAATCACGCTTTATTTTTTTTACAAAATTTGAATTTGTGGTACCGATCTATATTTAAAATAATTATTTCGTATCACAACTGCCTATTTCCGGTCTTTACTCTTCCCACTGGCCTGCTGCGCGCGCGTGTGCGACTTTCTATGGATATTAATCTCTAAAAGCCTACGGGTGCGATCAAGCAAATGCTGAGAAACTCCCAACTGTCATTGTCCCTGTCTGACTAGGTATACAGTCAGACCTCGCTTATCTGGTCCTCTTTTATCCGGATCCCTCGCCATCCGGAAGAAAATCGTTGGTTACCGATTTACAGCATACGCCATGTATACATACCGGTACAGTGTGTGTGTTCGATTATCCGGTTCCCTCGCCTATCCGGATATTTTAGTGGGAAACGGATGTGTGCGGTTATGCGAGGTCTGACTGTATTCGTGTTAGTCCAGGTTTTTAGTTGTGCGCCTATTTCACAATATTTTACAATTCTAGCCTTTTAAAAACTCTTCGAGGAGCTCCCTCTTATGCAACTTGCGTGCGTGCGCGCGTATTTCTGTGTGTGTGTGTGTGTATGCATGTGTGTGTGTCTGTGCGCGTGCGCTCGCTTGTGTGTGTGCGTGTGTTTAATGGGTCGCCGCCATAGTATTCTTGCCATCCCTGAAACGAACATTGTTCATTTCCGGGGAGGGGAGTAACGAAATTGCAAGTCCACCCACACTCTACTAAGTGGACGTGCATACGATTTGGGTCGTCCAGCGTAGCAAACTGCATTCATTTGGTCAGAGTACGACCTGAATGATATATTCGTCTCGGGAACGACAAAGCCTTCCATGATACCTGACTGTGTCTGTGTTAGTGAGCATGTGTGTGCATGCGTAAGTGCCAGCTGTGTGTGCGTGTGTGTGTGTGTGTGTGTGTGCGTGCGCACGCGCGTGTGTGCATGTGTGTGTATATTGTATGTGTGTATGTGTGTACTCGTAGCAAGTATTACCTTCACTGGGGGCAGGGGTAACTGCAGTTGGATTCCGGGACGGATAGTGTATCAGAGTGAACAAAAACTTTGAAGAAGACGAGTTCGAATAATGACATTATTCGAACTCGTCTTCTTCAAAGTTTTTGTGTTGCCATGATTTCTACCCTGCTTTTCATTGAAAACACTATCTGCATGACCTCGGAACCCGTTGCCATGCAAACCACCAGTACTGATCAGGTGCATTATACACAATTGTGTCGCCTACATACTAGAACTGTGGTACAATCATGTAGTTATGTTCCTACCTCCGGAAGGATGCCAAATTATGCTCCAAAGTTTCAACCACCAAATTATGGCAATAATTATGTCGATAAAACTGAGTATTGTGAAACGTCAAAAGATAAGAACAACTGGAAATGCATCAAACTCCTTGGGTCAAGACTTGGAACAGCAGAAGACGTATAACAGAGAATTAGTGCAGCCAACCGTGCCTTCTCATCCATCGCTTGGAAGAGACATTCCCTTGTGTCCCGTTTCTGCATTTTTAAAATTGTCTTATCATGCCCATTCTGTTATATATTATAATTGTGCCCTTTGGACATTGTCCAAGGCCCTTTCCTCCAAATTAGATATACAAATATATAAAAAAATATTATAAAAAATTCGACGGGTTCGCGTACCGGGCAGGTCAAGAACAAGGAGTCGTACATCTCCCTGGTCAAGAACCACCTTTCCGCTTCCGTGGGACGCCACCACCCCATGATCAGGCGTCAGATGCGGCTCCTAAACGGTGGGGGAGGATAGATCAGATCCACCAACCAGAGGCCAAAGGCCTAAATCCCATTTGCCACATCCATGTTTTACTTAGATATATGGCATAAGAAAAAGCTGAAATGTCTCATGAATATCCGCCGTCCTCATCATATCACCTGTACTCCCAAACCAATAGCATCCCTATTACCTCTATTTGCAAGGGAACGTCGACTTCTATGGTTTGGCCACGTCGTCCGACAAGGCCCAAGCTCTCCATCACACCAGGCACTGATGTTAGCCACTGACACCTCTACAATGTAGCTCTGACATCAAGAAGCCACGCAGACGTCCTCCCCCCCCCCCCCCCCCCCCCCCAATGCGTTGGATCGACACTGTCCGAAAGGATCTCAAGAGTGTCGAACTTACCATCAGCAACGCCCAGACCCAAGCTCAAGACCGTAAACACTGGCGAGAAACTATGAAAAGATGCGTTAGCTCATGCTTTGAGCGACATGCGAAACTGCATTTTTTTGACAAGAGTATAATTATAACCCCGGGTTATGTACTCTTGATATTATTATTATTATGCCGACATAATCCGCCGGTGCCTACCGACACTGACGTACTACAACATGAGCATGATTGCCAAGTACATGTACAATGTAAATGGTACATGGCGTTAGCGGACAATAGCGTAACTACTTGTTGTCTCAATTTTTTCACGTCTACATGACTTTATTTTGCCCGTGAAAGAGGCCGTTACCCCCGAAAAAAAACTTGTAGTTCCTTGGCCCTTTTTTTTCAATACTCACACAATCATGTACATGTATACAACTACAGTCGTCCCTCTTTAATCCAGCACTTTATAGACCAGCACCCTCTATTATCTAAACACCAGAACAATTTTCAGTTACCAAAATGTCCTCTTCATGCACACTGCAGCAGAACATCAGATTTTCTAATCCAGCAGAAATTCCGTAGCACAAATAGAAATGGTGCCGGATTATAGAGGGACCACTGTACATGTAGTAGTAATAGTAGGGATGTCAGCGAACGCACTGCGCAGGCCTCTGCGCATGCATTGCGTCATCGATTTTTTGAACGTGATCGCGGCCGACAGAGAAAACATGGCCGCGGTCTGTTTGCACCGCTGGGAGTCGGTGCAGGAGCTGCGCGGCCCCAGAACCACACACACTGCTCTGCTTTCTTGAACACGCGCTACTGTGTTCATTGGGTCGGACTGGATTTCTCTGGAGAGAACTGCCATGCACCGCGTGCACAGTCATACTTATTGTGTAGTATTAAAAGGGTCATCCCTTTGAGAGTTTGACAGGGCTACAATACAATCATGATGTTTTATTTTATTTTTACAATACATGATGTGGGCGCGGCGGACACACGACATCGCGTACTCGACATGGACAAGAAGAGGAGGGTGCGCCATGGCACAGAGAGTCAGACGTCGTTGCACAGACCCAGATGAGTGGTCGCTCACACACGCTGCCTGCGTAGATCAGTGCAAACCAGCATTACAGCTGTAGAGTGTAGACAGTGCAGTACGACATTTACCGGTATAACTGCAAATGAACTGAATTACTGAATGGCACAATCTGCCAGCTAGCTCGGAAGACCTTGCTCAGTTGCACCTGCGAGTCCACATTACCTTGCAAGCCATTTTCTGTAGTTATTGAACAGTAAACTGACTCGCGGTTTGGAAGCTCTCAGTCACCATGGATCCCGAACAAATGGAGAAAGAGCTCAAGGCTCTTGGGGCGTTTGTTCAGCGCCTCTCCGGACTGTTCAACCCGGCAGCCTTGGAGGCTGCACTCCAAATGAAGCCCCGGGAAGGCGATATATTCATCTCGACGCCAGCCAAGGCAGGCACAACGTGGATGCAGCAGATCTGCCATCAGCTACGCAGCGGCACCGGGGACATGGATTTCGAAGAGATCAGTCAGGTCGTTCCATTCATAGAGATTGCAGCCAACGAAGGTCTAGACCTGACTAGTGACCACCGGTTCGCGCCGCGCGTCTTCAAGACTCACCTCTGGGAGCCGCAAACGCCCAAGGGCGCGCGATACATCGTGGTTGCGCGCAATCCGTATGATGCCGCTGTGTCCGGATTCAAGTTCCAAGAAGGCTGGTTCTTCGAGACTGGCTCAATCTCGCTGGACACGTTCGTCAATGGGATGGTCTTGAAAATCGGTGAGCCCAAAAAGAACGGTATGTGCAGCCTGTTTCATCACCTGGCATCCTGGTGGCCCCGTCGCGCCGATGCCGATGTGCTGTGGGTGTTCTACGAGGACATGAAAGAAGATTTGCAGACACAAGTGGAGCGTGTGGCTGCCTTTATGGGCATCACAGACCCAGCTGCCATCTCGCAAGCCGTCCGCAAGTCAACGTTCGCCTTCATGAAGGAGCACGAACTGCAGTTCAGTGAACTGCCAATGAAGCGTAAAGTGAACCAGAAGCTGGGCTTGCCGCCCGACGCCGGCATGACAAACGGGAAAGTCCGCGTGGGCGGTGGCCAGCGGCACTTGCTGAGCGATCGTAACAAGGCGGGATTAGACGAACAGTGGCGCAAAGTGTGCCAACCGGTCATGGGTCATGCCAGCTACGACGCCTGGCGGGAAGCTTGGAAAGCCGAGCAAGCATCAAAGAAATAGGTCCACATCGCCCTTCCCGGATTGTTTATAATATTCTCGTCAGGTTTCCGGCACCGTCCATGCCGGTAGGGTTTACTGTTTTTTACGCGCGTGCTCGCCAGTTGCACACCTAAACGTGGTATTCAACGTTGTCCATGTAGGTCTCTGTTGGCATGTTTTAGCGCAACAGCACTATTTTTTTTTGCTGGAGTAGCTTTGTATAATTATAACGTCAAAGAACTTGGCCATGTCGCCATGAATCAGGGGGACAGGCTAATGATGTAATAAGAAATATTTTGTTGACATCCCCTTCACATTAATGCCTATGAGTAATACTAGTGTACTGTAATAGGAACTCGGTGTTGAGGTGCAAGCTAGGAGCGCGTTCGAATTGTCACTCTTTGACTTTTCGAGGAGTTTCGTTTTTCTGAAGAGGTGGCTTTATTGGCCTCTTCAGAAAAACGAAGTTCCTCGAAACTCCACAAACTGGGAGAGGTGGATTAGTTTCGAAGAGTTTGGAATAGCTACGTCATGTAGTATGGCGATGGTCGATCTGATCTGACGTCATCATCGCCATGACAATTCCACCGAAAAACTCTAAAATGATAGAAACAGTTCTAATGGGACACTTCAACTTTTTAATAATTCTTTGTTGCCATCTTCAATAGGTCCGTCAAATAGTAGTAATAGGTTTTTTTCATTTGACCCGACGAGACCACACGACGCTTGTAGATCACAGCACGAACAGTTCACCAGCCACACTCCACGAAAGCAAGTAGTAGTAGTAGTAGTACTCCTGACAAGTCTTGTTTCGTTCCATAGAGATATAACGGGGAACTCATCAGAGGAGAAGCAGTTGTTGAATGAAGGGGTTTAGCTGAAAAATGATTTTTATAGAGAAGATACCGGCGCAAGGTGTAAACACTCAACTAACTCATATACATGTACTTGTACGTGACATATCAACACAAAATGAATAGTGCAGAACTATGGAACGAAACAAAACTTGTCAGGAGTACTACTACTACTACTACTTGCTTTCGTGGAGTGTGGCTGGTGAACTGTTCGTGCTGTGATCTGCAAGCGTCGTGTGGTCTCGTCGGGTCAAATGAAAAAAACCTATTACTTCAACTCTCTATAAAATTTGTTTGAACAGTTGATGAAGACAATTCGAACGCGCCCTAAGCCTAGTTCTGATTCTTCTGAAGGAATAGCGATAATCCCCCACCCCACTCCGTCGTGTGACGTTATTTCGTTGCGTGATGGGCGTGCAACTCAAAGCTTCAACTGAACATTCTGGCTTCAATATTAGAGAGGTCTATCCCCTCCCCCCCCCCCCCCCCCGGTTTTGAGCACTGTTTTGAATAGTGCAAACCAACTAATGTATAGGTGTCCATAACTCGGGGTTATGGACTCTTGGTATTACCGTATTACAAACGGGAAGGATAAAAAAAGGACCAGTTGGGATTCGTAACTCGGTGTAACGGTGTTTCGTGCAAATGCAATCATCGGGCGACTGATACTAAAACCGGAGAGGAATTATTGTGTCTACGCAGAAAGTGCAACGAGGCAGGTGAGAGCGGTCTGCACCTCTCCTTCATACCGGCCTACTCATTTCTCACAGCATGCAGATGACACCACAATACATGACACCGATCGCGATGCGGTGGTGGCCACTGCAGCGAAATGTGAGCCAATCTTGGCCCAGGATAACCTGAGATTATAGGTAACAAAACCTCAATTTGTAGCACTTTCAAATGAAGATGGAGCATGGAGAAAGACAAAACTACTCCACAGTCTCTTGGGATCTGGAAGTGACATCGAGAACCGTATTAACCGCTAAGTTGTATGTGTGTGTATGTGGGGGGGGGGGGGGAGGGCACTCCGGCTTCATTTTGGACGTCGTACTTCTTTTCACTACTTCATTTCGTTGTCACAAGTTGCAAGCATCTGACTTTGGTGGAGGTGGCATGTCTTCAAAACGTGACATGCGCTAGTGCATCCCGCCTGCCAAGCTAAGCACATGCGATGTCATGAGGCCCTGGAGTGTGGCGAACAGGGCCAAACGCCAATTTAGGGTCCAGCGGATTCTGCCGGCAAAAAATTAGCAGAATTCGGTTCTTTTTCTGGTAAGTTTCATGCATGTTTGGTGTGTGGATAAAGAAATGGAGCAGAATTCGAGGAATTGCCCGCCATAAGGTTTGTATGGTTCTGCCAATTTTTCTGCTTTTCGAGCAGAATCAGCCGGTCCCTAAACGCCATGTTTTCCTTGGTAACATGACGTCAGACGCATTATCACCATGGCGAGTTGCAGCGCCGATCATGAAGTAATAATACTTGTAATAATATCTTTATTAGGATGACCCAGAGGCTTGTGGCCTATCAAGGGGTTCACCGCTTACAGCGGCACAAGAAAAGTGTCCTAATTCTACCTGGTGGCTTAGCAAACTAACATAATGTTACTTGTGTACTCTTCTCTAGATACCGCGACCTCTCTTAGCCACGATCGTATGCCTAATACTAGTAGGCTATCCTCTGGCCCGGCTCGCTCGTTCGCATGCTTTCCCGTCGGACATGCAGGCCTAGTAATGTTAGATTTTGCCCGCTTGTCTCCAAACGTAAAGTTTCTTCTAGCTCTGGGTAGAGATGAAGATGACAGTAAAAGAGAAGGTTCTAATTATTATTTTAAAAAAAGAAGCAAAAGTCAATTCTCTGTTCACTGCTTGTGAAGTAAAATCAGTTCTAATCTCGATAACTCTAAGAAAAAGGACACATTTCAGGCTCTTCAACATCACCTTGAAATTTTCACTAGTGTACAATAAAAGTAAAGTGAAACGTGTCTAAGGCGACCACTGCTCAAGGGACAATCAAAATGTGGTCTCCATTGCCAGGTGGTCTCCTTATCCAGGGTCATTCGACTGGAAATAGCATCCCTTGGTCCTGGTGGCAGTGGTCGTTTGGGGCAGGTGGTCGCCTTATCCGAGTGGTCGCCTTGACAGGTTTTACTGTAATGCACTTTCAAGCCTTATCGTTAGGTGAACTGAGATACAGGCAAACTACAGGCAAAATCAAATGAACAGGGACAATGGATTTTCTTCGTTGTCACTTTAGCTCTTCTTCGATAAGGCTTGAACGTATACTCATTCAATTAAATGTTGAAGAGCCTTACGTGAGTCCTTTTCTCGTGTTATTGCATTCCTGCCTCCGGGAAAACAATTCTAGTCTCACTAGTTCTAACCTAAATGATTCTGAACATAAGGAAGCTAGCCATGCAGCATCTTTTATAGCCAAGCAATGTACAGTGTACATGTACATGACTGTATAGCATATTATGTATCAGGCGAGGGCAGGGAACCAAGGAAAGTTCGTCCTGTATCGTTTGTTTTCGTGTGTGTTTTCAAGACATGGTTGGTATTTCGGTTTCTGACACAACGATCGGCTTGTGACGTCACCCTAGTTGAAATCTTACCGTTTCGTTCTCACGGTATGTACATGTAATAGAGCTTATCTGACATGTATAAGACTTAGTATCGATTGAACTTTATATCGTCGAAACGATATCAAACCGGTGGTATTTTGGGTGCTGGGTACGAGTACCGTTGGATGTAGCGCGAACGGTAAAATGCTAACCATGACCATGTCTAGTGATGGAAGGTACCGCATTCCATCTTGGCAGCTTCAGGCTACGGAGACTATTCCTCCTTGACCTTACATGTACTGTAGTTGCGTGGGTGGTGACGATTGTCGTTAGCGAAGAAAAACTAAGAATACTTTATACGAAGAATACTGTATACTATATACACAGATTACACAGCAATGAAGCAAACAAAGATCTTTCCGCTGTGACTTGGAAATTCGTGTGAAAACACTCATCAGGCAGCATATGACCAAGACTAACAATCACTAGAATATATTATACGGAGGGTCTTGAGAAAAGAGGGCAGAGGCGATGGAGGTACAACATTTCAATAGCGCGAGGAAAAGGAGGTGACAAAAATCAGCGTGATTTATAAGAGGAAAAAGATGTTGAGAGTATAGAGCATAGGGTGCAGGAATAGTGCGATTCTCTGGCAACACATCAATATATTAATTTTTGTGCTGCATTGCGACACATGACATTGTGACCTAGGGTGGTAAAAATGGTGATGGGGATCGGGCGTAATGAGAATCACTCACGCCAGGCAAGGGGAGGGGGGGGGGGTGACTACCACACCCACCAGGGCATGGACAAACCGGCGACAGAAGCCCTATTTCACGCACTTACCTAGGGTACCCTGTAAAAAGACTTACAGTCTGTGGGGATTGCCCTTGTAAAAGACTAAGTCAAGACCCGCCAAAGCGTGTGAGCCATGAGCCCTGGGGAATGCTCACCATACCCGCGCCCCGCGGAACCCAGCCCCAATCGCCACTTCCCGACCCCCGACGGGCAAAACAGCCACCCCCAGCCTGGCATGGCTCATGTATTAATACTAAATGTCGTCCATCACGTTACCCTGCTGAGTTGAAACTTGTTGGCATGACGGCATTTGGAGATTAACTTTCTCCTCTTGTTCAGGTGGGTATTCCTGTCGGCGGTAATGATCCGGAATTTCTCTGTCACGCATAGATTGCACCGTTTGCTGACGTTGCTATACCCTTTAGCTTGCTCAGCAATCCTCCACTTGATGGTGAACGGTGTGTTCTTCTCGCCGTACATGCTTGGACAGATCCGTGTTGTTCCTCCTTGACTCGATGTTCATGTCCGACTTGTGGTTGTAGTGTCGCTTATAGTGTCGCTTATAGTGTCGCTTATAGTGTCGCTTATAGTGTCGCTTATAGTGTCGCTTTATGGTAGTAGTAGTAGTAGTAGTAGTAGTAGTAGTAGTAGTAGTAGTAGTAGTAGTAGTAGTAGTAGTAGTAGAATTTATTATTTTGATAGGGAAGGCCCTACAGACGTTGCCGTCTTGTTACAGGGAACCCTAAGTGCTCTTTACAGAGCGAAACAAAAACGGATAGATGCTCAACCTGACGACACGAGACAGGCAGAGAATTCCACCCATCAGCGCCAAGGAAAGAAATAGAGAACATGCCATATGGTGGCTCTGTAGTATTTTTTTTTTTTTTTTTTTTTTTTACTACGTTCACATAACCAGCTCGAAAAGAATAAGGAAAGACAATGGTACGGAGACTAGGACAAACGTGACAACTAATGAGCAGGCGCTGCACCGAGACGCAGCAGTGATGGTGGGGCATTGATGACTCTGCCGACCTGAGGTCTCGGCGTCACGGCCAAAAAACACGCACCAAAAACAATGAAAAAAGAAGAAGATAGAGCTGTACAGGTGAGAAAGATGCAAAAACCCAAGGCTT